AGTTCAATACGGCCGTATTGAAATTCAGAAATTTCAATGCGCCCGTATTGAGTTCACTGCGGCTGTATTGAAGCTTCAATACGGCCGTATTGATTTCAGTACGGCCGTATTGAAGTTTCAGAAACTTCAATACGCCGTATTGAGTTCACTGCGGCCATATTGAAGCTTCAATACGGCCGTATTAAGTTTAGTACGGCCGTATTGGGCTTCATTCCCTCCACTTCCTTATTTTAAGCTACTCTAAGACCTCTAAATCTACAGATAGCCATCCTATGGTCTTCTAGGAGTCCTTCTGGCTGACTTTCCTTCGATCTTTGAGGGTCTTCGAGTTTTATTTCCGACCCGGACAATTTTAGGGGTCTACAACCCTTTAAGCTCTAAATTCTCAATTTTCAACAACACCATTTCACCCTAAGCAGTTCTCGAAGTTTTCTACGTGCTAATTACTCTAAACACTCATTTTTCTCCCTCCTCGAGCTTCAAGGTGCCACATTTGAAAAATGAGAGGCCTTTGACTTCTTCCTTTGAGGGTGAAAGCAAAATAAAAAAAACAAAAAGTAAAATATAACACTTCTAAAACCTCCATGTTTGGGTTCAATCATGGATAGTAAAAAAATTTAAGCGTAAAATTAGTTTTTATCCTAAATTTTAACTTAATTCTAAAATAATTAATATTTTAATTAAAAAAATTCATGTCAATAAAATTAATGGTGATTTGAGTGTTAAAGTAACGTATTTTAATAGAAAAAATTAACAATATTTAAAAAATAATTAAAAGTAAATATTTTACATAAATTTGAAGGACTAAAATTATGAAAGTTTTCTTTAAAGGAATAAAATCAAATAGTGGCAATTTTTGGGACAAGAACATATTTAATCATATTGAAAATAATATAAGAGTTAAGCCTAATTAACTAAATCTGCATAATTAATATAGTTTTTTCTTTATTTGTTTTACCTTTTATTCCCTTTATTTATCATTCTATATTGCTTTTTTTTTTATCTTATTTGATTGATTATGTAATTATTTTTTGTGATTTGAATATGTTCTTTTTTTTTCTTTCTTATTTTGTTCGAGTTCTAGAAGCCCATAGTCATCCTTTAAAATGTTGGGGATCTAAGGGAGTTATTCATAATACACTTCAATTTGGTATTTTAATACATTTCTAACTCTTGAGAGAAACCGCGGAAGAAGAAACTTTATTGGAACCCTTGAGGAGCAATTTCTGGAGATTTAAGATCATATCCTTCGCTATTGAGATCATCATTTGAGGTAAGATAGAGAGTAAGATTATCTCATATATATATATATATAAGAAATGTGGTAACTAGTGAGTTATCCCTTAAAATTCTAATGTGTGTTTGAACCTGAAGGAGTGTTAATAACATAGATGTCCATCAAATTACATGAATTCATTGCTGATTGGATTGATTTGTGTTAATTATACGTGTTTGTCCTCATTAGTACGTAGTCATGGTTTTATGTGTGTTTGTCCTCAACAAACAGGTCTCAATTTCATAGACTTTTTTTTTTTCAATAAAAAATACACAATAATAATAACAGAGATCAAACCTAAAATTTTATGTATACTACTTCATCCTTTCACCATTAACTCAACTTCGATGAAAATGATTTGTGTGTTTAATAATTCAATAAAAGCACTCACTTTAATAAAAAAAAATGAATAAATATTTTATTAATTAATATATTTCACAATAAATTAAAATAATTAAATAAAGTTAACAATTAATTCATAAAAATTCGCAAAAAACGTTGTTCCTACAAATTTTCCTCCGAAATTTTATCTGCAGGTAATACTTTCGTGGATAATATTTTTCTTGAAAAAAATTCGCAGAAAAGTTTCTTGCAAAAAAAATTCACAGGAATATTTTTTACCAAAAAAATAAAGAAATTACTATAAATTCTATTAATAATTTTTTAACTTTTAAATGCTCACAATGAATTCATTCGAAGCATTTGTTTCCATGCCCCCAACATGTGATACATAATCTTTTAAATTCTAAGATGGTAGATTATATAAGCCTAACACTCAACCATATAAATCAATTTGTAAGGTAAGTGTTGTCCCAACTTATATACTCTTTAATTGTTTTATTTTCAATCGATGTGAGACTTGAAGTTTTTTTAAAATATTAAACTTATAAATTTAAATATATATATTTTTTATTTTTCCTGCGGATTAAAATTTGCAGGAAAATCCGCAAGAAAAGTTACTTGCAAAAATTTTCTACCATTTAGTAAACATTATTTGCAAATTTATTTTTGTAAGAAAATCTGCAAGAAACAAAATAAAATTCTTACAATATTTTCTTTAAATTTTTACCATGGAAAAAAAGTTCTATGATTATTAAAATTGAAGCAAAATTTGTAAGAAATATCTGTAAATTATTTTTCGCAAATAAATTTGTAAAAAATTTCTGCGAATATTTTTTTCAGGAAAATTCGCAAAAAATTTCTGCGAATATTTTTATGCAAGAAAATTCGTAAAAAAAAATTTACGAATATTCTTTTGCAGGAAAATTTACAAAAAAATGATACTTTTCTAGTAGTGTTATAATTAAGAGAAAAAAAAGTACTTCTATTTTTTTATGGACATGATATACTTAGTATCTTAATGATGATAATTAAAAACTAATCAACACTTACAAGATGTCACTTTCATTTGTCAAACATTATTTTAAGATATATTAAAATCAATTCATTTTACATATATATTATATTTAACCAAAGTTAAAGATACATATTATATTTAATAAATTAATGTTTAAATATTTAACCATGTCATTTAATTTGACTATATTTCACAATAAAGTTAAACGAATTAAATTAAGCTGACAATTAATACATTTAAAATGGACCGAAAGTAAAAGCAGCTTTAAAATTAATTCATTTTACATATATGTTATATCACTATATTCGATAAATTAATGTTTAAACCTTTAACCATGCCATTTAATTTGACTATATGATATATTTAATAAATATAATAATTAGTATTATTGAGCTGTCAATTTAACTTATGAAAATAAAAAAAATAAAAAAAGTGAATTTCACTTATAATATATCAATTATAATATTTACGAAATATACACTTAACTTGAATAATATTAAATGTTATATTTATTAACTATTAAATGTTATAATTATAAAATCACACTAATGAAGTTAGAATAATTGTCGGTTATTCAGTAAAGAGAGAGAGAGAGAGAGAATAATTGTCAGTTCCCTATGCAATGGCTTCTTCTGAGTTCTCTAATAAAGACCCTTTTATTTTTAGAAAATTTTCAAATTCGATAGGTATAATGATTGTCAGCTTATTTTATTTAAAATATTTATTAAATTTTCTTCATACTTAATTTGTAATTAAGACATTTTCTCTACCTTTTTCATTTTTCACTCATATATTCTCTTTCTTCATCTCATCATCTTCTTTTTCTGCATGTTATCTTATACAATTGTTTTCTTCCTCTCACGTTACTTTCTTTTCCTATCCTTTTCAACCAGGTTTTAGATCCTTTCCTCTAAAAAAATATCTATTTTTTAAATTCTAATTATTATTCAAATATTTTTATTTAAAATTACTTGTGTAGATATTTAATTAATAATATACTTTAAATTTAACTATTATAATTATTTATAGGATAAAATATTAAATATGAATATATCTACGTATATATATTACTTTATATTATATATAACTTAGCATATATTAATAGGTTTATCCTATATCGATGTCTCTTACTTTAGTTTCTTTCGGAATAAAAAAATACATTAAATCATCAAATTAAAATAACGAATAACATAAGATCATCATATATCCTATTGTCACAAAAAATAACTATTACAACATGTACACGTGGTGTCAAATAAACAGTTTTAAAATTATTATTAATTAAATAGATTTATTTCTTGTAGAAAAAATAGATTTATTTCTATTGTAAGTCGTATGTATTCATAATTAGCGAATAGCAATAAACTATAATTTGGTGTAAAAAAAATAAACTATTATTATTTCCATAAAAAAATAAACTATTAATATTAATGAATATTAGTAATAAATTCATAACACCTTAGAAGGACATTGCATTCATGTGACAGGTTATACACATAACACCTAAATTATTAAATGATCTACTAATATATAACGGTTTTTTTAAAATATTGATTTGTGTTGAAATCGTATTACTACATTCATAATTTTTTCGACCCACTATGTAGCAATTTCATCTTCTTTTTAGTAACAAAAATTTTAGATGAGTTGAGTCAGAAATTCACTAAGACCAGGATAGATCTCAAGATTTTATAAGCACTAAAAGAAATATTTACAAATTATTTATTAACAAAACTTTCAAAGAATCTTATAATTATGGTTATAATCACCGTCAATTTTGTTTGCTCTTTATTTTCATAAAATATGAATAAAGCGTTAAGTTATATATCTATTTCTAACGTCTCATCCGGGTCTTTGGTTTGGTACCACAAGCGTATGTTTTAGTAAAAAAAAGTTAATAAAAATCTAACTTCACTTAATTTTACTTTTGAAAATTGAAGAATCAAAATAAGATACAATCGAAAGTAGGAAAAAAATTGAATCCTCTTGAGCCTGGGTTGACGCAAAGAGCAAAGAGCAACAAGTACAGTTGCAACGTTATTCAACAAAGGAATGGAATAAAATAGCACTGATCTTTAAAGGTAACCACAAGTCAGATCATGAGTCACCCCCCAATCCTACGATACTCTTTTAGCGTACATTTATTTTCCCTAATTGATTATTTCTCCTCTCTCTTTATCCTTCTCTCTTGATTGTCACAAATAGATTAATAAATATACTATTATGAATGCTATTTATGTTTTGCTCTACAAAAACCACTTTGTCACATAGGGCTTCCAAGGACTTATTTTGATATACACGAGTTCATTTAGAGTTTTTAATTTTTATTTTTATTTATATTTAAATAATGTTTGATAAAAAAATTTAATTTTATAAATATGGATTAATTTTTAATTGTTAATTTTGTAATGATGTGCGTGGATTATGTAAAAAAAATGTAAATTTAATTTAATTTAATTGCTTTTGTTTATCATTTTAACTTTTCCAACATAACAAGCCTTACTTAAGGTATTTACGTGCTTTTCACTTACTCCATACGTGAATTCTCTCCTCTTTGCATGCTTTTTCATGACTCTTACTTTATGTTCATCAAACCTCTTTCTGACTCTTTCTCATTCTTTGTTGCAAATTTGAACATAAGAGAATTCTGGGTTACTCTTGGACCGCAAGAATGTTTCCAATGAGGTTCTGGCTAGCTGTGCTATTGATGGTGTTAGCAACTACTGTGGAGGCCAAGCCTCGTCGAATTCTTTTGGACACAGATGTTGACACTGATGATGTATTTGCTCTGCTCTACCTTTTGAAGCTCAACAGATCAGAGTTTCAATTGGAGGTTAGCACTTAGCAAAAGAAAGCAAATTGAGCACCTCAAGTTGGTTGCCTTTATTCCCTTCTCCTTTTTCTGCTTTTCACTGTGAACCATTGCTTTGACTGAGCTGAATCATTTTACTCTTTGGTTGAAATAGTTTTTATTTTCCTACCAAATCTTACTGTTGTTTCTGTTGGCTTAATAAAGGAACTGGCATAGTAAAAACTAAAAAGTGTGTACTCTTTCTTTTTGTTGGATAAGCCATAAGTGAGTGTTTTAAAAGCTGTCAATACTCTGTAGTACTGTGCTTGTTCCCATGTGTTGTAAAACCAACACAATTTGATTCAATGAATCTGACATTGCATATTTGGCATGGCTTGAGGGAGAGTTGTGTAGTGAACTATTTTGAGCATTTTTTTACCATTCAGGGATTGGAATTTTGTGATGTTTTGAGTCTGTATACCTGTAGGGAGTCACAATAAATGCAAATGCTTGGACCAATCCCGGGCATGCTGTGCACCAAGTTTATGACTTACTTTACATGATGGGGAGAGATGACATAGCAGTAGGAATGGGGGGTGAGGGTGGAATTCTCCCAAACGGTACCATACTCCCAAATGTTGGTGGATATCTTTCAATTATTGAACAGGTATGTGTGTGTCTGTGGCCTTTTCTTTTTCTTTTGTGAATATATTTGTAAGCCTCCAAAGAAATACATGGAGCATACAAAATACAATGCATTATGTTCTTGTTCATGATTGACATGTTAAATCAAATGCCATTTCATTGTATTAGGGAATGACAACAGCAGGAGGCTGCAGATACAGGCAGGCCATTCCTATGGGCATTAAAGGGCTCTTGGATATTGATACTAGCTATGGCATCCGGAAAGCTTTCCTTCCACAGGTATAATAATACACATTGTCAATTTTAACATGTTGGCTTTAGTATAAGAGAAAATAGTTGATACATTCATAGTGTAAAATGATTTTACATTATCATTCAATCACGAATTATCATTTATAATAAGTAGTTAACTCTTATAATAAATAAGTAAAAAGTCATATCAACGATTTAGTGTAAAACTACTTTACACCATTAACTCATAAGTTAATAACACCTTATCATAATACCAAAAAATAGTATTGACACTAATAAGGTACATGTCATGTCAGTGTCACCATAACGGTGTTCTAACTGTTCTAGCCAACTCAGTCACATAGCTTAATTGATTAATTTGTTTACTATTAGTTACATTGCTAAACCTTTGACTTGAAACTGTTTACAACTACATTTCAATTGGATTTATTCATTTTTTTAAACTGTTTGTAGTCTAAATACTGATACTGATTTTTCTTGCTGATGAAATTAGGGGAGAAGGAAGTATACTCCTCTTCGACAACCAACTGCTCAGGAAGTGCTGATTGATAAAATATCTGCAGGTCCAGTAACTTTGATTATGATAGGAGTGCAGACAAACATAGCAATTTTCCTCATGAAAAATCCACACCTAAAGAAAAATGTGGAGCATATTTACATCATGGGTGGTAGTGTGAGGTCAAGAAACCCAACTGGTGACCGTGGCAATTTATTCTCAAATTATAACGCGAACCCTTATGCAGAGTTCAATATATTTGGTGACCCTTTTGCAGCATACCAGGTGAGTCTCAAACTTTATGCCGAAGTTATTAACAAGTTAACTTGTGTTGGTTATTTTCAAAGGGGCGCTCCAACATCTTTTTTGATGGCATTAATGTTTCATTTATTTAAATTATATTTAGAGCATAAGAAATTTATGGAAGTTCATTTTGAATAAATGTCATTGTTAAGTAAATAATAGTCACCATTTTTTATGTCAAGAGTAATTAACTGAACATTCAGCCTCAGCTTTTTCAAGGTTCAGGCTGATGTCTTTATAAACAGAGATAAATGCATACAAACGATTGGTTCTTGACCAAAAAATACATGTCATTTTAGGTGATTCATTCTGGTATACCTGTTACCCTTGTTCCTCTTGATGCAACTAACACAATCCCCATCACTGAAGCATTCTTTGCTGAATTTGAAAAGAGTCAAGACACATATGAGGCACAATACTGTTTCAAGTACTTGAAAATGGCTAAAATGTCTCGTGAGACTTGGGTTGACAGCCAATTCTATAAGGTAATCTCTTAATATAATGTTTGCATATCATATGTGCCTATGATTTTCACTTGTTAACATAACTTGTGTTTGGTGGAGTAAAAAGGAATTTATATTGATAATGACTCATTGTTAACAGAGTTATTTTTTGTGGGACTCCTTCACATCTGGTGTAGCAGTCTCAAGCATGAGAAACTCCAATAAAAAAAATATAGAGGAAAATGAATTTGCTGAAATGGAGTACATAAACATAACTGTAATTACTTCAAACAAACCCTATGATATATCTGATGGTTCCAATCCATTCTTTGATGGCCTCAAAGTTCCTAAATTCAACCTAAAGAAAGGTGGGGTGCATAGTGGTCATGTACAACAAGGACTTAGTGATCAATTTTGCTTTGTGAAGAATGGGAAAGGAAGATGTCAGGTACTTGTTTCTCTTTTTCCAAGCAACTTTAAGATTATACAAATATGCAAGCATATAGTAAAAAAATTTGTGCTTATTTATTGCAAAATGTGCTATATAGGACGGTTATACAGCTGAGGTGAATGGTCCTGACTCAGTGAAGGTACTTGTCGCCACTAAAGCAAAGCCTAACCGAGATGTTAAGAGTCCACTTGACAGAGAATATTTCAAAAGCTTCTTGAATGTAAGTTCACTTTTATTTTATTCAAACTTCTTCCACTCCGTTTGTTTTATATGATACTTGGGTAAAAAAATGTACCAATTAAGTTCTTTAGAAGGAAACCACATTGCTAAATTATTTGTACTCTGACTATTATTGGGTTTATAAAATAACACGAGTGTCTTTATTTTGCTTTATTCCGGTGGTTCACAGGTTCTAAAGCAACCACAATATGCTGGGAGGTTCAACTTCACTACAGAATTTCCTTACTACGAAGAAGTAACTTACATGCCAGATTTTCAAAACAAAATACTGGGGAAACCTGTTGTGTTTGACATGGACATGAGTGTAGGAGATTTCCTTGCTCTATTTTACCTCCTTAAAGTTGATGTTGAAGTGATAAACCTCAAGGTATTCTTATTTTTTGTTTCTCTGATTCACGTGTTCTACATTAACTTAAAAGATTGTCACAAAAAAAATGTTCCCAAATAAAAAAGAAAGAATCTTTATAGTTATTTAGCTTAATCAAAGAGTTTTTATTATTATTAGTCATGGAATTTTAATAAGAGGTAACTTGTGCATTCTATGTGACATTTATAAATCCAGATTTATTAGATTTGAAGCGATATTCACTGTAACACTCTTATTAATACTCTTCTATTAATTGAAAATTACTAATTTCGATAAGTCTTACATCAAATCAGGAGATAAACTTATTAAATAAAATGTGAGACTACAAACTTTCTGAATTTTAATCAATAATAAAGAAAGTATAAATGAGCGATTATTAGAGAGAAAGTTGGTGACATTTCAGTTATATAATAGTATGGTTTTGCACAAGCGAATTATAGAGACATGGACTAACTGAGAAGAGGGTTTTGGTTCAGGCAATCATTGTGAGCCCAACTGGGTGGGGAAATGCTGCAACAATAGATGTGATCTATGACTTACTGCACATGATGGGTCGTGACGATATCCCAGTTGGTCTTGGTGATGTTTTTGCAATGAACCAGTCAGACCCAATATTCTCACTCGTTGGAGATTGCAAGTATGCTAAAGCTATTCCCCACGGAAATGGTGGCCTTCTTGACTCTGACACTCTTTATGGACTAGCTCGTGATCTGCCACGTGGCCCCAGAAGGTGCTTTTCTTACCTTAAAAGTACTCATCAGCATTATGATGCATCAGAAATTATTGAAACCATCATGCTTGTGTGGGGAAAGGAAGCTACTGTTACCACTGAAATGATGGAACTTGTTGTGTAAAATTAAAAACTATATCCAAGAATGAATGGGAGATAAAAAAAAAGGTAACAATTCACCATGTGGGGTAGGTTTGCATTGATGGAAATATCTGCAGCTTAAAATTTGTTAAAATGCAAGCAAATGCATGATAAGAGTGTTAATTATTCTCATAACCAATTTCGTCATGTCTAAAAGGTTCACCATTTTAATTCTTATACAAGATTCACTAGTGACAATGTGCGTAGTTTGTGCCAGATGTTTGAAATGTAATAAATGAAGTAGAGAAAGATAAATATACCAAAACAATGTTGTATAAATTGGTGTATGAATTGTTATACATATATTATTACTCCTTTACTTGGTTGGCATGCTTGTAAATTTCCAATTTCTTTTACCTGGAATTTGCACCAACGATTTGACATGTGACTCAGGTATACATCTGAAAACTCCGTGAAGTTTGGGGCTCCTGGGGATACCGATCACCCTGGACTAAGGCAACCACTGGCTATGGAAATTTGGGAGTCTGCATTGCAAACAATGGAACCAGGATCCAAAATTACAGTGTTAACCAATGGACCCTTAACTACTTTGGCAAAGGTTGTATCAGATAAAAACATAAGCACAAGAATTGAGGTAAGTTGTATTATACAACTGTTTTACAACATTTTAGAACAATTGTAATTTTAGGATTAATCGTAATTTTAGTCCATCTAATTTCAATTGTGTGATTTTAATGTCTTAATCTTTTGAGTTAATTAAGTTCTGTTATTTTTAAAATTAAGTGAATTTGATATAGTGTGATATTAGAATTTGTAAAGGAAAATTTTGAGAATTTTTATTTTTAGATGAAATGTGGTGTTTTAGTTGATAAAATTGAAAATAAAAAAGTTTTAAAAAATTAAATGATTCAATTTGTAAAAATTTTATACAGGAATAAGAACAATCCACTGCATAGAAAGTTGATGTAAGATCCTTGAAAGTGAAAACTGTTCTTGTCATTTTGATGAAAGTTATGATATGTTTAGTTGAGAAGGGTAAGGGGAAACAAAGAAAATAAATGAAAAGTGAGATAATTTTAAATATATATATATATATAT